ATCAGTGTTAATAATAAACATTTTGTTGTGCAACCTACATAATTATAATGTTAAAGTATCATATAAACAGCCGATAATAATGGATGAACATAATATTTAAAAAATAATGAACAGCATTATGTTAAACTTTACCCGGAAAAATTGACTTTAAAAAATGTTCAACTTTGGAGGCTCATATCTTCGAAATGGTAGTAATAAAATCATTAAAACTGTGAAAACAGTATGCACAGATTCCTTATAAACTAATTCCATTAAACGGATTTCAAGAATTGCGATTTTCATTTTTTGACTTTTGTCCACGTTTTCGTCGTTTTTCGCCACTGTGCGCCGATCGATTGGACGGTCCCGATTCGATGCGTGCCAATTCGAAGAGGTGCCGATTGGACGCGTCCCAACTCTGTCCTTCGAATATGTTGTTAAGCGCGTGCTTGTGAACGAGTTTTTCCTTATGCATAATTGACGGTAAACTTTAGTTTTCGTGACATTAGCGAAAAACTATCGTTATTAATATTAGTGGAACGCCCCGTGCTATGCACAGGAAAGACAAGAAAGGGCAATTACAATGCACTGTACCAAAACACTAACTAATCTTTACCGCTTTGACAGGCGACTTATGCAGCAAGATGAGTTCACGTTGAGGTTGGTGTATTATTCCCATTGCTTGGTACAGTCTCCGTATCGTTCTAAAAATGCATCAATTTGATTTGTTAGAAAATTTGTTGCGCAGGATCTGCTATTATTGTAATGAAGATGCAGTCGTTACATTTGCGTATATTACCAGATATATCTATAATGGTTCGTATTCTTTCTCAGGATTTATTAATTTCCAATACGTCATACCACAATCAACTGGTTATTGGCAGCAACGTTTACTGAGGTATTTTTAATTTTGCGCCGCTTCCGAAAAGATTGAAATGTATTTAATATACTATCTAACGAGTAAGTAGATTTCATTCATATCTGTTAGGTAATTGTATGATTGAATGAAATAGAAATTACTTCATTAGGAAATAGAAATTATTTTATACTTTTTAGTGCATTTCGAAGTCGGTGTATTTTTTTTCTTAAAATTGTTTTATTCTTTCATCGTATAAACATGAAGCACCGTCGGCATTAGCATTACCCAGTGTGCACCACGAGGAGGTTGCTCGATCGGATTTTGCACACTATGTGGCCCTAAAAAGGCCCATTGTAGTTTTAACTATTCGTCCATTAGAATTTCAACATTTATACTCTCTTGATACTCTCTATTAGCGGCATCTCTGGCCGTATTTAAAAGACTGCCATCCGGATATTTAACATGCCTTTGGTGACGAGCAAATCCTAAATACCATAAAACACTTGCAACATGTGCGCATGTACTTAATGTTCTGGCACCGGATTGACAGGTGCAGTAGTAACCACTTATTATGTCGTCTTCTAGCTCCAGTTCATTTTCCGGAATGTAAGAAGTAAAGACTTGATGTTTCCTACGATTCCGAAATCGTGAATAAATTCTGAGTCTTATAAGGTTGTTATCTACCAATGCAGTATCAATCTGTAATTCGTCATCATCCCTTTGCAGCTTATCTTGAATATAAGGAGGTGCGAGATTGACCTGATATACACCAATAGTCAAATCGCGCAAGTAATCGATATCCAGTTGAGGAAATCTGCGCACTTAATCATGTAGTCTCTACCAGTGAGCGTTTCGGTATAGCAGATTGTCTACCTCCACTCGTGCCTGAACAGCATTGACGTCGTTCCTTCGTCGAAGCATATTTCTGGCTAATTCAATCGTTGCACTTTGCATATTGATAGGAGGATAATACTTATTAATGATAGCACCACATATTGCATAATAATCTCCAATATGTTTAGCATTCTGCACGTTAAACGTTTGAGCCAAGATTTTAAAGATTGTTTTAAAATGTCCGTTTCTGTATTCAACAATCCATCTCACTTTTGTAATAATCTGAGTATCATTTGCTTCTAGAGTAGGTAACTGTCGTTGACCTCTTTCTAGAAGAGCAGGCGTTTTATAAGCAATTCCTAAGCGCGTTAAAATAGGTGTACAATCTCTATATCTTCTATCGATGAGAAAAATATCACCAGTCTGGAACCAGTTACCTAGACCTTGAGCATCTCTTTCGAATTCATTATCGAGTATTGAGGCACCATTATTATATGAATCTGAGAAATACGGACCCAAAATGGATAAAATATATCCATCTGATGCCAAAATGATGGTCGGTTTTAATAAATGTCTTCCTTTGTGAAGGGAGTAAGATTGTCTCAAGACACGAAAGTTGCTACTCTTGTGAATGTAAGCATAGGTCGCATCACATATAACAATGCCTTTCGGAATGTCAGGTTCGTTATTAAACAGTTCATTTGCAAAGGGTGTTATATGGCGATTTATAAACTCCTCTCTACTAATAGCCTTAACGCCAATGTTTCTGTTCCACAGTATAATTTTGAAAGTCGCGTTCCTTACAATAGCTTCAGAAAACTTTAAATTTATGACTTTGTTTTTCACGAAGGCAGCTAGCAATTTGCACATGGGATTAACATTTGGCCTGCACGTTGCTAGCGCGTTCATGGCATGCAAGTACCAGAGCTGTTTTTGAGAGTCTTTTTGTACTTTTTAAATTTACGATTCCTATGTCCAAGTTCTTTCGACGGTCTCAACAGCTAATTGCCAATGCCATAAACGTGAATTTCCTGAGGGTCCGAGGACAGGGCCTAGGAGACATAAACCAGGTTCCCTTGTTGACAACCCAATGGAAATTCTGTCTTACGTTCACTTTCTCTTTCCACCTCCACAAGGCCCACCGTACTCCGCACGGATCGCGCTAAGGGCGCACGGGGTAGGGTGACGTCCTTTTTTAAGTAACACTATTGGCAATCAGTACAACCAATCAGAACAGTTTCCACATCTTCTAGCTTTTCTTAGTTTTCCTCCTTAAAATCAAACCTTGCACGAGCACTCTCGGAAAAAGTATCGAACGATAAAGATCTCTCTTAAAAAATCTCACACGTACAGTTCTCTTAAAGAAACGTTTTAACTTTGCATAGTAACAGTTTGATATTCTGTTCACAAAAAGGAACATTGTAACTATAGGGAAACATTATACTCCCTCGTACACACAAACATTTCACACTTGTAATAAGAATCTTGAAATTGGTTAAGTTTTTTCATCAAAATTAAATAGTTTATTTGGTGTTACTTTAAAATCAATTTAAAATCTTTATTACCTATTCAACGCCCAATATTGTCCTTACCTCAGTAAAACGACGTAAGGGTGTACGCGACCGCACTGGTGTAATAATCAGGCAAGGATTTACGACCCTTGTCGACTTCGATTCAGTAAATCGGTTAGTCGCAGTGTACCGCGTATTTCGCAAAAAACAGTTTCCAAGAACAAATCTTCCTTCTAATGATTTTCTGACACTACTTATCGCCATACTAGTAGCTTGTCTGCTTGGATAATTGAAAATTACCCTTAAAAATTCATCGGATAACCCTTGGCTTAACTTGCATAAGAATGTCATTAAATCTTTCTTCGAAATATTTCTAACATACGGATCTGGAACAGGATCACAAAACTTGAGGAGATCTTGAAACTGTTCTTTATTCAAAGAAAATAAGCACGAGAATTCTTCATTGTCAAGATTATCGAGATCTTCTAATCTCCTCTGATGGTTTGCTTCTTCGCGAAGTTATTCGAGAAAAACTTGTAACTCAGGGCCTGGATTTTCCATAGATATACGAACTGTATTATCCACTACTTTACAAAAAATGCAGGCACGATTATGCTTCTGTTTTACAATATTCAATCGTAAACAGGTTGGGTTATTTCTAATTGTTTCAAGTTCATTTGTAAGAGACTGGTTGCAATTAAAACAAATGCGAGTATCATTTTGAATGTCTATATTCGGTAAGTTCATAGAGTCACGGCGCGATATTGCAATCTGTTGTCTAGCTTCATCATCGCCTATTCGAGACATTTGCCTTACATTTCCCAAAAAATTACAAACAAAACATCTACTTCTCGGAGCCATTACTTTCTTCAAAACTAATAGGACAAGTGAAAAGACCGTAGAAGATGCCACTTAAATAAAGTACTGTAGGATAGCAAATATAACAATAGAATTCGGCAGTTGGTGATAGCGTTGCGGGGAGAGCGGTGCGTCTTCTGTGTTTTGTCAACAATTCCATTAGAGTAGGAGTAACGGTGTTGCTCGGCATCAAAGGTATGTTAAATATCCGGATGGCAGTCTTTTAAATACGACCAGAGATGCCGCTAATAGAGAGTATCAGGAGAGTATAAACGTTGAAATTCTAACGGAGGAATAGAAAAAACTACAAAAACCTTTTTAGGGCCACATAGACGGTGGCTATGTGATGTGACGGTGCTTCCTGTTTATACGATGAAAGAAAAAGAGAATCATTTTTTACCTTTTGCGCGATTTTTTATTTTGACTCCTGAAAGGGAGTTAAAGGGTTGGGGGGTCAAGGGGTCATATTTTTTAAGGGCCCACAGTACTACCATTAGGTTTTAAGGGATCAAGTAAATGGACAGTGCGCAACAGTGCTTCTTACACTCACAAGGGGCATCACCAAGGTGTTACACGCGGATTTTAATGAAACTGACATATGTTGTAGCTTTCTAAAAATCATTTGACACGTATTTTTTTATATCTGCCGACATCCATGTTGAGGGGGTGAAAATAGCCCTCAAAGTTGGGGGTTGAAAACACATTTTCTTTAATATCTCGGAAACTAGAGGGTGTAGGAAGGTGAATTTTTTTT